CGCTTAAGGGACTCATCAGGTGGCATGAATTCGGTTTCCAATTCCAAACGGAGAAGGACTCATTTAGTGTCTGAATAGATCAGCATACACTGACCTAAACAACCTGCTCTTTTGCACCATAAACTTCAAGTGGCAACATCTACTAGAGAGAATGGTATTGATTTGACCGAAAGTAAAAATATCGAAAGAAGAAACATCGAAAAAAAGAGATCGAAAAAAAACATGTCGAAGGGAAAAAATGCCGGTCATACGAAAATGTCGAAAAAAAAATGCCGAAAGAAAAATGTCGAAAAACGAATATCGAAAAGTCTTTACGTCGAAAAAGGAAATGTCGATCGCATAAAAACGTCGAAAAAATTTAAGATGTAGTTAAGAGACAGTTGTTAGTCGTCTCGGTCATAGCCACTTTCTTGTCTAGTACCCGAGAATAAGGCTTTTACGCGATAATTATGTAGTTTGCTGTGAGATCATGATGTTTGCTGCGAGAATTATGCATGATGTATAAGGTATTATGCTGTCACCACGAGAATTTATATATCTACATAGCCACTTTCTTGTCTACTGCACGAGAATAATGCTATAACGCGAGAATTATGCTGTTTGCTGTGAGAGTTATGCATGATCGAGGAGATATTATGCTCTCCCCACAACAATTTATATCTATCTAGAATGTTTTTCTCCAGTACACGACAATGATGCTTTTACGCGACAATTATGCTGTTTACTGTAAGAATTGTTTGTTACTTCTAGATTGTGCATAATGCTCACAGGAAACAGCAAATTCTCGTGTAAATACTTTACTCCTGTGACCTAGACAAAGAAGTTTCTATGAAGAGATACAAAATTCTTGTGAACAGAGCATAATATCTTTTAGGTTGTCTACAATTCTCACACAAAACAGCATAATTCTCCTATAAATACATTATTCTCGTGACCTAAACAAAGAAGTTTAGAAGAAATACAATCTAGAAGATGTTTTGCTTTCTTCACGAGAATTTTGTCTCTCTTAACTTTTTCTTTAACTTCTTTATTTTTAGTCTACTATGAATCTCGAATTTTATGTGCAATAAAAAAAATGTCATCTCGCTATTCGACATTATTTTTTCGACTCAAGTTACATTCGACCTAAGTATCATTCGACATTATTTTTTCGTCATTTTTTTTTCGTGGTATCGTTTTTCTATCAAAGTAACAGTCGGCATTTTTGTTTCGATCTTTTCCCGTTCGACATTTTTTTTTCGGTCTGTTTTTTTCGACATTTCTTCTTTCGACATATCTTCTTTCTACTAAATCAATACGTACCACTAGAGATGCTCCACCTGTTGCCACTGCACTGGCAGATACAAATACACGAATGTATCGATTGAAGTTTATGCTGCAAGAGAGCAGGTTGTCTTGTTTAGGTCAGTGTATGCTGATCTATTCAAACGTTAAAGGGGTCCATTTCCGTTTGGATTTGGAAACCGAATTCAAGCCACCTAATGAGTCCCTTATGCAAGGACGAAACCGGTCGTGGCTGCTCTCATCAACAGCATATATTCCTCGCTGCAGCATGCGCACGTATTTATTCCTTTCCTCAATCACATGTGTACAATCGTTTCGTGTCACTGAGCCTGTCACGATCGCGTGTAGCATGTCCAACATGAGGAGTGAAATGGACCCATGCAGTTGTGACAATGGTGAAACGGTGTAGAAAACGCGTTTATTTTTGATACCGTTAAAACTTACAATATGGTCACATTTAACGATCAAAACCGGCTAACAGGCGTTGCGGAATTGTGACGCGTTATCGCAGATAATCTGCGATAACGCGTCACAATCGCCAGAGCTCACAGTCGAAAACTATTCTGAACATTGAAAAACACTCATTCTGTTGGTATTGCTTTTCGAAAATACTCTTTTTTATTTTGATCTCTTGTTGACATGTGTGACGTTTTGGCTTACGCGAAGTCTATATCAAACAATAGCGGAATAAGATGTATACATATTAACCATTAATGACAACTATGAGCATCATATGCTTTCTTTTTCATCTCGCTCTGTCCGTCTTCGTTTTTGCAGCGATAATCGATTCAATATTTTTGATATCTCCATAGTCATACTCGCTAATACAAATGTAAAAGTTGAATTTTTCAAGTGGAGGTAACTTGTGACGGATAAAATGTTTCCATTGAGAGAAGCGCTGCAGAAAATTGAATGAGGAATTGTAGATCGTTAGTTTGAGGTGGACAAGTAAAGGTGTAAACGAAAGAAGAGATTCGAGCTCATCTATTGACATTTTACCACTATACAATGTCAGTGAAGTCAATTGTCGGATTGAAGTTGGAAAGACAGTTTGATCAATCCCGTTCATGTCGCAATCGTTCAAAGTGAAAGTTCGAAGATTCTGCTGAAGAATGGTACACAACTGCTTATAAGTACATTCTTGTATAAAAATGAAGGTATGTGGTTAAAGACTCGAATTTTTAGAACCGTTTTTCGGCGCGTGATGCTGTGACAAAAAAGGCCCTAAATTCGAAGTGCTTCTCATTAAAAGCTTATTTGCTGCGAATTCAGAAGAGCAAATAAAAAGCGCCTCGAGCAAAGTTTGTAGAGGAGTAAACGAGCTACTGATTGCTAAAACAGAATCTTTCCTTTGTTCTTCTTCTTTTCTTTTCTTTGTGTTTTCTCGTCGTGACGCTGTGACACTCGTTTTTCCCAATAAAGTTTGGAGCACTAACCATTGCTCAAAGGATTTCATTTTCACATCAGACTTAGTTTTAGGCATCTAATATAGACTAAGGTGAAAATAAAGCTGAAAAAATGTTTTCACTTTCTTAGAATTGTGTGAGAATCTTAAACTTAAAACTTTATTAAAAAGCTTGTTTTGAGTCTAAACTTCAAAAGAAACATACCATCTTGTAGAGAATCAAATTCTCTATCGATTAGTATGGCCTTCCCTTTTTATTAGGAAAAGTGTCTAGGTGAGGAAATTGAAAATACAGTTTTCAATAAATGTAAAACTGGATTATTGGTACCAAAATTTAGCTTTTTCAAACGCCAAAAACTGCATCTAGTGATATGCTTCTCTCAGTTCTACTCTAAAATAATTTTTTCAAAAACTTGATAAGCGAAGTCTCGAGTTACGTGGACAAGCCGTACAGTATAACGTTATCTACGAAGAAACTTAAATCGCTTTTATTTCAGCAACCGGGCACGATCAGCCAAAGTCCTTTTGGGTTGTTTCTCATCATTATAAACCGTATCAATCGGCAAAATATGACCAAGATTGGCGTGAATCACCTGGAAATCGCTAGTTATCAAAGAAAGATTTACAAAGCATGTTTATTTCTTATTCGATAAATCGTAAGATAATTTTCTGAAATATCGTAATTTTCGCTCAAGCTAGTCTTGTTAAATAATTACTCATCACAAAGATTCATTAGACGAATTTTGAGAATTTTTGGAAAAGTTCACAATGTTTTCCGTTTCCTCTCTTTTCCCCCTCATTTTTACCATTTTTTCAAAGAATTCTTTAAAAAAGTTGGTAAAGATAAATATGTCTTTGTTAGGATGTCGGCCACGTTTTCTCCTCTTCCCTGTTCATGACAGTTACTTAAGGGGAGTTAACCTCTCCCCAAATATACCTTCAAACATATCTCAGTTTATAGCGGACACTAAAATACGTATGTCGAAAAAATCTTTTCGCTATCGGTTCATGGATGGATGGCTAAGTTTTGTAAAAATTAGCGGGAAAACCTGTGTTACCCTGTGTTTTTTGAAAAATTCATCCTGAACACGAAAAATAATTCGAAGTCATCATTATTGCGCACGAGTATAGTATATGATCCTCAGTCACAAAGCATAAAAGAATCAATACAGGTCATACGTGTACAATCACTAATTAGTACTAATTATTATTGATTTTAATGAAGATAGTCCTTTTTCAGTTTATTTCTTAAATAAACGATTAAGTGGAAGAGGTCATGAAATAGGTAATTCGCAAGAACTTTTGAAGCGCTACAAGATGCTATATTTACTTCTTTTTTAAATTCTTTTCAAAGAGCAAAAGAGATTCATTTTCGGAATTCGTACCTTTTTGCATGAAATTTAATTCTGTCTTCTTTACTCAATTCTTTTGATATCGATGGTTTAACTCCATTAATTTACGCTTGTGCTAATTCATTTAGTATAATGAAATTATTGATAGAAAATTATAATGCAAATATTCATATTACCGACAATATGGGATGGACAATATTATGGCATCTTGTTCATTGTTTAAATGAAAAATCTTTGCTCTACTTATGCAAACGAATGAATAATATTTCAATTGAAATAAATCGTTCAGATAAACATGGTGTAACACCATTGCATGCAGCTGCTGCTTTTAAAGCTCTAACAATTGTTAAAATTCTTGTTGACTATGGTGCAAATGTAAACGCGGTTGATAATAATAATTCAACTCCTTTGCACTATGCCTATCATCGTGCAACACCTGATATTGTTAATATTTTACTTCAGGCCGATTCTGATTCATTTAAAAAAGATTCGAACGAAATGACACCAGTTGAAATTATTTTTACACTTCGCAATTTCCCAATAATCAATGTAGATTTATCGCTGATAATTTATATTTTATTAGTGTATCAGCTGATGAAATGTATAATATTGTCATCATTCCCTTCCTGACGATTTTTTACAATCATATCTAGAGTGTCGTGGTGCTCTAGATGTCGATGATATTTGCTCATATCTATCTCAAATGATACATGTAAATGGTATTGGTCAACTGCCAATATTAGATGAAATTGATCAATTGACTCATGATATTGAATTATTTGTAGAACAATTATGTACATTTATTGGTAATGTAGATAGCAGATTTAAAGGAAAACTAATTAAATCTGGTAGCTTTTATGAACAGACAAAAAACGGTGATCCAGATGAATATGATTTTATGATTGATCTAGAATAGTTTTCAACAGGTAAATTTGATTGTATAACAGAGAGTCCAATAACAGTTAATGCGACTTTAGTTTCTCCATATGATAAACGATCAAAATATGAAGAATTTTTGAATAATAAATATCAATTATCATGTAAAAAGATAATGTATAAATTTATGGATTTAATTGAAATTTCCTTATGTAAAATGAAAAAGATATTAATTATTTAAACAGTAGATGTTTATCAATATACGGTTTGAGTCATCGAAATAAAATTAGTCAAATATATCCAACATCAAAATATGCATCATGTGAATTACTGTGTAAATGGTTTGGATCTTATTATAAACAATTAATGATAAGTATTGATCTTGTACCAGCAATTAAATTGACTAAACATCCATCGACAATAAATCTTAGAAAAAAAATCTCTTTTACTGACAGTTTATATGTGGTTGTGAAACATGATTCATGGCGTTTATCATTTTCATGTATTGAGAAAACTATCATGCAAACATTATCGTCTGAAGATAAAAATACTTATTTAGCTGCTAAAATCATGTTACATCCAATGATATGTCCGTCTGTCGCTGCTACATGGGATTCAGGTACATTATTCAATGATAAGAATAGTAGTAAACAAATTGTATCCGGTGTAGTTGATATTAATCATTCACTAGAGCCACTCTTAAATGAATCTGTACAGGTGGCTGATGATATACTCGTATGGCAATCATTATTACCAAAACGGAGCTACGAACAAACATCAAGACAAATATTGTCCACATGTAAAAATGATACTAACTATGATTTATGTAAAACAATTTTACCGTGCAATCTGATATCATCCTATACATTGAAAATTATACTGTTTAATATGAGAAAACGAATGAATGGTCAAATAACTCCACGTATGCTGTTTAATGAATTGTATACGTGTGTGAGAAGAAAATATTTGTCATATTATTTTGTTCCTCAAATTAATGTTTTAGCCAATGTTATTGATAACAAATCTACGTATAACGAATTAATGTTTATAACAATGATGATCAATATTCTGTTTAAATATGGAAAAATTGATACGCAAATGGATACTAGTAACTAAACTCTGAAAAATGTTTTTTTCACACAACCTAAAGAGCAACATAGCTAGGCATGCACCGGTTACGGTTAACCGAGACTGGTCATAAAGGAAACCGATCCTAACCGAAGCTAAATTCCAAAAGATTTGAGTTAAACTAAATCTGGAACTATCTGTTTGTTGCCTCATATATTTTTAGTTTTGTTAAACGAATACGCAGTACTTTATTTTCTGACATCACTATTTTGTTTGCCGCTTCTGTTATCAGCTGATCAAAATATACTTCATTTTGTTACTGTTTTGTTCTCTTCTTTTCCTCTTTCTTACGCCTATATCTAAACTAACTGAATTCCTTGTTGAAATATTTGATTTTCCTCCTTTACTTGGTTGAAAGGAGAAAACTATGTGCACGGAAGAGGAAAGCAGCAAGAAAATAAAATTTAGTTTTTACAAAGTCGGTCTTGATCAGCTCCGGTTATGACCGGTAGGCGTGTATCTCGTATCTTGCTGCAATCGATCATCTTGCTGTTTTTGCTTTTCTTTAGTTCATTATCTTTTTTTCCGCTACGTTCACACTGCGTTACTAACAAAAGCGTCGTCGAGAATATTTGGTGAGAAATTAAAGTGAAAGTAAAAGGACTTTTCTAGAGATTCCTCGAGCAATCATGATCACCTAGTATTGGAAAACCCTTTTTAAGAAGTACAAGTAGCCCAAAAACCATGGTTTTCTAGAAGTCCTACTTCCGCATTTCGGAGAAAACTTTCTAGAGAAGAAACGAAAGAGCACGTTGAGAAACTCCTATAAACAAAAGGACAGCTCCATACCATTCCGGGGTTCGGAGATAGCCCAGACCAACCTTCTAGTGTAACACGCCTATTTTATCAGTAGTTGACGATGGACGAGGCGGTGACGGGGCAGAAAGCTTACGGGGCGATCCCCGCGAAGTAGATTTTTCGAAATTTGACGAGGTACGGAGCGATAACGAGGCAGGAAGTCTGCGAGGCGATCCTCTCGAGGAAGCTAAAGATAGTTCATCGCCCACCTCTGGTGTGTTAGCACGGACAAAAATGATGAAGAGAAGCACGTTTATGTATGCACTACTCTAAAAAATTTATTGCCCCCGTAAACATTTTCTCCCGAACTTTTTCCTCTTCTTTTTGTCTGAGAAACAGAAGGACCGGTTTTGTCCAGTCTCCAGCTGGTAACTGATGGAAAAGGATGATTTTGGATCCATAGACTGTATTACAAAAGTGATCGATTTATATTTTAGACAAACAAGTTTACTCCTCTCTTGCATGAATGATATGCTTTCTCCATTATACCACTTAAAGTCGTCACCATCTCTAGATAACTTCTGTCATCTTAAGATACCAGAGACAAGATTTGCAAGAAATGAATCCTTATATTTCAAATTTCTTTCAGATATGCGCTTTTATATGTTCTTAGATTTCTTTTGATTCTAATCCTATATAGATGATAATTTACTATCGTACATCCAAGGAAACGAACGTTTTTCGTTGTTTTTTTTGTGGAAATCCGGAAGAAAGACTTCAAAAAAATACTTATTATTCTCGTTTTTTCCCCACAGAGAGTAATTTCGGTTGCTTTTTTTAAATGAATGCTTGATTATTTCTAGCCAACTTCAAAACAGCTTTCTCACAAAATTTGTAACTTTTTGAAAATCCGGCCGGTGTTAGTCGGCTTTTTTACCAGTCCAATCCATTATTTCAATTGGTCGGTTCAGTTTTCTTCCGCTGCTTTCAATTTTAAACCATTGTACAAATGGATTTTATGATCCCAGTATCCTTTATGTCAGAGAACGTCTTTAATGGATGATCGTTAATATGTCATACTTCTGTTCTACGGCAACAGAAGCTGCTGCAGAATCTGTTTGGCATTGTATTGTAACCATCGCCGGTACGCCTACACCAGGTGCTGTCTCATTTCTACAATAATGTTCTTTCATTTTTAAACCATTAACACATAACACTCCATTGGAATTCACTAATGAATTCTTCTCTCGATAAACGATTATCTTCGCTAACATCAAACTTTTTAATGATTACTTCCGCTCTTCTACTCGGTGCATTTTCTTTCTTTCGATTTGTTTCACCATTTAAATCGTAAATAGCCGAGATAATTTTTGTCATTTCTTTTTTATCAATAAATCCATTTTGATCAACATCACACATTGAAAGGGCTAAATCTAAACGATCTTTTAAATTACCTAAAATATATACAAAAAATATAGGTCAATTATGCAGCGTACTAAAATATTTAGCACACTTTATTCGTTATTCATACACAAGCAACTAAAACGTTTTATTTGCAAAACGAAAAAAATGTATAAATTATAAGTATTTGTAAAGTATTCGATAAATGAAAATATTACCCATATTCTGCTAAGATAATCTTGATTATTAAGAGTGCGGTGGTAATAAATTTCACAACTTAATTTAATTCTAAACTAAAAAGCGAAGCGCTCAATCTATTTAGATAACTTTCGATCATATGCCTACAAAATTGAAACGAAGTTGTTTTACAACGTAATCGACATTATTATCACCTATTCGGTCTCGGTATTTTTAATAAATTATATTTCATCATAATCATTCTATTTGACTCTCTCACTCATCTACATCATCCGAAACATAGCTTTAATTGAAACTGATTTTCTGCACCATCTGCTATTTCCGTCACTAACTGATCTTTAGCGGTCATAGATACCAAAGGGTGTCTCAGTTTTACTGTCTAATGAATGTAGACTTTTCAAGCATAAATGTCATCTCTTTACTTCTATAACTAATCAACGAAATATCACGATACCACATGTTAACTCTTCGTTTTGAACAATAACTTATTCCGGTTATGTTTATCACACACAAGAACATTATCGTCCAAAGCTGAAGGATGATATTATTTTCAAAATATAGCAAAAGTGTACAAACAATGATATTAATTGTGTTTTCGTGCAAATACAATAGACTGATAGCTAAAATCATATTTTCAATATATATTTCTGATGTGGGGTAAAAACAAGCCAAAAATAAAAAGTGCTCGAATTTTGAATTATCGGCAGCTTACTAATAATGTTGTTCCGAAATCTGAAGAAACAAAGAAAATGACTGGAAGCCGATATGCTATATAAATCATCACTGTTGGTACGAACAAATTACTGCACTATTTTCGAGTAATAATAACAAATGTGAAATTATCAGTTAGTTTATGTAAAACGATATATTTATCTTCGAATGGAAAGAATTTAGAAGGTTTGCAACACTGTCAACTGAAGAATTAGATCTCTGGGTAAATTAAGACAGTTTTAATAAAGACTATAAGATACATTTGATCGAATCTGGTCGTCGGATCTACGTGGAAACATCCTCTAAATATTGTATTTTATTTTATTTTTGTGATATATTCAATCGACTTATATTAATATAACAAGCATTTTCACATTCCTCGTCATGATCTTCGCATCTATGTTTCCGCAGTGTTCCACTTACTGGGTTGAATTCTAATCGATCAATATTTGTCCAGTTTAATTCAGTTAATTGTGGTTTAGTCCTCTGTAATGAAACAGTTTTCTGGTACAGTTGTTGATTCTGACGTGATCCAGTCATAATTAGCTTTAAATCATCATGTCACTGAGAATTTGCTTCAAATGAATGCACATTGAATGGTTTATCGAGACGTGATGATGAGATGTACATTGGTTTACCACTATTATTCCCTCCAACATATTTTCCACGTGTGAATGCTGCACTCGCACCACTATTTTTGAAAACACTATTGTTTTTTGCGTGTGATTCATGCATATACCAAGCATTTTCCCAATTCAAACCTTGATAGCCGTTTGGTATCTTTCCATAGGGCGATGTTGCTGCATTTGGAATACCGTCAAATGTAATTTTTATTTGTTTCATAAAATCCATATCTGAACAATAGAAAATCAAATTAACTTCAGGATTCAAAAACCATCAAGGATACTGATGAGGTGATAATTCCTCCGTATCCAATACCATTCTCCTTCATAATTTCCGGATTGATAGGATCAATCCTTATAAGAAACAGTGTACAAGGATCTAAACTCATGCGTTCTGATTGCAGAGATATTAACGGTTTAAGTTACTTCATAAGATCCTATGAGTAAACGTTACGTTGTCACTTAGCACACCGAAAATTAGAGATCAATCACTCACCTGCTAGATGAAAGGGGTAATAGTAAAACATGAAGACACACACAGACATCTACAGAGAGCATCCACAAACATCTAGGTCCTTAGAGTATCATATTTGTCCTTCACATTTATTGTATTTATACGTGCGCTTTCCAAAAACTAAGATATTCCTAGTTGCTATTGGCATGAGAACAAGCAAATGTGCCGTTGGAGAAATTAATGTTCATAGGCTCAAACAAAACGAAATTAAAAAGCCTACAGGTCTCAGATGACTGTCTATGTGTATTTATGGGTGTCTGTAGATCGATTCGGGTCTCTGTGTAATTCAGTGGATGTCTGTGCAGACTCACTCTTTGAGTCTGTAATTTGGCTGTTCGCGTGGATGCCTGCCACTGTCTGTGTGCTGTTGTTATTGCTGTGTGCTACTGTGTTGATTCTGTAAGTGTCTGTAGGCGTCTGTCGGTGTCTTGGTGTTTTGATATTACCCTAAGTATGGTTCTCTACTAACCTAGGTATTTGTGGATACTCTCTGTAGGTTGCTTTGGCTGTTTGTATGATTTTCTGCGTGTCTGTGTAATTTCGTGGCTGTCTGTGTAGTTGAATGTTTGTGGATGTGTGTAGAAGTGGGTGTCTGTGTAACAGTTTTGGATTGTCTGTGAACGCCTGTGTGATGTCCGTGTAGATGTCTGTGGCTGTCTGTAAATGTCTGTGGATGTCTTTATGTTTTACTATTACCCTTTAGAACTCAGATCACTGTCTATGTGTATCTATGGGTGTCTATAGATTGACTCGACTGTCTGTGTAATTTCGTGGCTGTCTGTGCAGACTCACTTTTTGAGCGTCTGTAATTTGGCTGTCCGTGTAGATATCTGCGAGTGTCTGTGGGCTGTCTGTGAGTGTCTTTATGTTTTACTATTACCCAGATGAAAAGCTGAATTTTTTCATATAACGTGTGCAGTGGTACAGAGACCGGAATAAAAGGCTAAGTTGACATGAACTTCTTTCTACCACCGTGTGTTAGAAAGGACATCCCTCGCTGACCAAGGGTATTCTCATTTGTACTAACTTTTTTTGTTATGCAAGGGGGAAAAAGCAGCTCCACAGTTCCGGTGGTACCAGGTGGCTCCGCATGAGTTCCACTCATCTCCAGTGTGTTCCACATGAGTTCCAATGAGTTCCACTCAGCTCCAGTGAGTTCCATTCAGCTCCAGTGAGTTCCAATTAGTTCCACTCAGCTCCAGTGAGTTCCACTCAGCTCCAATCAGTTCCACATGAGTTCCGATCAGTTTCGGAGGGTTTTCTGCCGTTCTTATTGATTTTAGTTTGACGTCTTCGGGCTATGAACGTTTGTTTATCTCTGTGAATTATATCAGTTGCCTTCCTCTTGATAATTCTCATAACAGTGCAGGTTTTTGTGTAATTTATAATACTATTGAATAGTTCTGTGACAAGTCTATTTTGTGAAATGAAAGTTTGGTCCCTAGCTGCTTTCTGTGTAGAATGCAAGAAGAATGTGTTTAAGCTTATAATTTTCATAGAAAAAGGAAATAATCGTTATTAAGAAATTAATCCCAATACTGTGAACCAGACAGTCTTTCTTTTGAAAAAAAAACCACAATGCGAAAAAAACAATGTGAACAGAAAACACGAACAAATATGTAACAAGGAAAAACATACGTTGATTTTATTACGCTTAAACATGCATTTTAAATCTATTTTTGTTTACTTGTTAATTGCACTCTTAATAGCCTATCGGATGGTAGCTGATTTTTATTATTTGTTAGAAGCCAACAGGCAGTTTGTTTGTGGATATATTTACATTTATCATCAATTTCGACACAAAAATACGATTT